CTCATAGCTATGCAGACCTTTCCCCTGGTTGTTGAGGAGCTAATGAATGCAACTTCATTATAGTTTAGCTAAGGTGTTGGTTCTGTACTATCCGTGTGAAAGATGACTTAATCTGCTCTCAGGAGAGATGAGTTGCTTTTCCAATAGTGGTGATGAATTTGCACTGACTATCCGTATTCTCTCACTTGGATCCCCCATAACAACCGCATGCATTTCCTAGGTGGCTAATCAACATTAGAAATGCAATCTGTGACTGAAAAGGGGGCGGGGGCAAAACTGACTGGTCTACACAGGGAACGAAGCAACAAGCTTAGCTTGGTTAGCATGGTATGCTAACCAGTGGAACTAACTAGCTGCATTGAGGCTTGTCCTCTGCATTTTCTGCGTAGAAGTGATTAAATGTACAGTCTCTATTTATCATGTGTGCTCATGTATCTTATCTCATGATATATAAACATGCTCACATAAATCTGTATCCTTTGTTTCTGTCTCAGTTCTTTTTCTTAAATTGAGACATAATTCACATACCATAAAAATCGCCCTTTTATGGTGGTTTTTAGAATATTCCCACAGTTGTGCAGTCATCAGCACTATCTAATTCTGGAACATTTCATCACCCTCAAAAGAAACCCCGTATCCATTGCCTCCTTCACCCAGCCCTTGGCAAGTGCTACCCTTCAGTTCTTTTTATTACTGTATTTTTTTTTTTGCTAAACACTTTAATCAAGCTTTGAATTCTTTATTTCTTTTTTTAAAACATATTTTTATTGATTTCAGAGAGGAAGGGAGAGGAAGAGAGAGACAGAAACATCAGTGATGAGAGAGAATCATTGATCGGCTGCCTCCTGCATGCCCCACCCTGGGGATCAAGCCCGCAACCCAGGCATGTCCCCTGACAGGGAATCAAACCATGACCTCCTGGTTCATAGATCGACACGCAACCACTGAGCCACACCAGCTGGCCGCAGTGCCTCTTTTTTGCACAAAGCATCCACCCAGTCCCAAAGTGGTATCTTAAAAATTCTTACAAAAATGTGGTCCTGATGGTTCCTTGTGTCTGTTCTCTTGCCCTTGGCCCCGTTGTCTCAGCTCTTCCCTAAGACTGGAATCCACAAAGAATTCCCAAACATCCGGCCTCTCTTAAGTCTAGTAAGGTTACTTAAGATTGGGGGTCGCACCGAGGAAAGATAATATCCCAAACCACACAATGTCACATCATGTTCAGTTCTTCCCTCATGTCCGCTCTCTTTCCCCAAATTCCAAAATCATTATAGGTACATGACTCTACTACTGATGGGAGCCATCCCCAAGCCCTGCCTGTGTGCCATGTTCTGAAGAATAAAGTTTCTCCATCTTTCTTCACTCTTTTAGGTCTCCGAGCCTTTGACCGTGGAATGACTCTCTCCCCTTGCCCACCTGGTAAACTCTTATTATTCATTTTTCAAGCCCTATTTCAAAATGAAAGAAATAGGATTAACATAAGTCAGAGACATTTCTGAGGTTTTTTTGTGGGGTTTTTTTCTCATCAGAAGTATGGCTAACTAGCCAATGACCACTCTGTTGGCTCACAACTCTCTGAACCAGCAGTCAACCGGTCAGCTGGGAAGCTGGAGGGCAGCTATTAACCTGGAACCCAGAACTGAGTGATACAATCAGAAGAGTCTAGAGCAGTGGTTCTCAGCCTTGGCTGCACATTAGCATCACCTGGGAATCTTTTTCTTCCACGGGCGGGAGGGGAACTGCCCGCTGACCTGTGACCTCTGTAACAAGGGCTTCATCAGCAGCGCCTCCTTGGAGAGCCACATGAAGCTCCATTCGGACCAGAAGACGTACTCTTGCATTTTTTGCCCGGAATCCTTTGACCGCCTTGATTTGCTGAAAGACCACGTGGCCATTCATATCAATGACGGCTACTTCACCTGCCCGACCTGTAAGAAGCGGTTCCCAGATTTTATCCAGGTGAGTGTCTGCCACTGAGATTCCCCTCTGCTCCCTTCTTTTGGTGAGAGACACGGATTTTTGGAAAATTGAGACTGCCGTCACCTGCCACCTGCATTTTCTTCCCTTCTTTGTAACAACTTTACAGTTGAGGGCATTTCTTCAATCTACTTTATTTTTAAAAAAAATATTTTTATTGATTTTTAGAGATGAGAGAGAGAGATTGAAACATCAATGATCAGAGAGAATCATTGATCAGTTGCCTCCTGCACACACCCCCCCTATGGGGAGCGAGCCTGCAACCTGGGCATGTGCCCTTGACCAAAATCAAACTCGGGACCTTTCAGTCCTCAGGCCGACGCCCTATCCACTGAGCCAAACCGGCTAGGCCGGAACTCTGTTTTTAATCCTAAAAAGAAAGAAAAGGGAAAAAAAATGTTGGTTGCATGTAATCAGGGCCTTGACTGCAGGCATCTTCCTTCCGCCTCTTCTTATGGGAGGTTAAGATTTGTAAGGCTTCTGGCTACACGTTTTGTCACTTTGTCGTAAGGAAAGTGTGTGTTGCTGAGGCCAATTACCAGTCACAGCTAATGGGATTACCTTGCTCAGTTTCTGAAAGCGCTTGGCAACGCCTCTGGCGCCCTCTAGAGTTGATAAGCTGCCTTGTCATTTCCTTTGGTGCCCCAGTCCCTTGACTTTTTCCGTCTTCGCTGGCAGGTGAAAAAACACGTGCGGAGCTTCCACTCAGAAAAGATCTACCAGTGCACGGAGTGCGACAAGGCCTTCTGCCGCCCCGACAAGCTGCGCCTCCACATGCTCCGACACTCGGACCGCAAGGATTTCCTGTGTTCTACGTGTGGGAAGCAGTTTAAGGTGTGTAAGCAGGAGCAGCCTGAGGTTGTTCTCACGGCCCCTACAGTCATGTCGAGCCCAGGATCAGTGCGTGTTTGTTTCATCAGCTCATCACCCACGTTCAAAGAACTGGACTGGAGACGCATTTCGTGCCTGATGTTTGAGTTAGTTATTCTGATAACATTAAGGAAACAAACTCACCTTCATTTCCCAAAATTATTCATTCAGATCCCCGAACAAATAGAGTAATACTGCATCTCCTAAAATAATCCAAATGTGTGATAACTAGAACTAAATGGCTATTGAGGCATTCCTAAGAGAACAGTCCATTTACTTACCAAATCAAGAGATTTTTATTGAGCACTTACTAAGTACAGGAGGCTGATGATTGAGCTCTGCAGCAGCAAGACCGTCGTCTGATGTAGGTAGTACATCTGTAGGGTGCAGAGAGGGCTTAGAACACTCTGGGGAATGTTAATGACATCAAGGATTAAAATAAAAAATAAATTCAGTAACCTGCCTGGAATTTAGAAGCACAGGAAAAAACCCATGGGAGGCCCAGAGGTCTGAGTTAAACAAATAAATGTAAAAATGGTTAAAAAAATGCTTCATTGAGAAATAAGATGATTCTGCAAAGATCTGTGGAGGGACACCCTCCTGGCTCTGACTGTAGGTGGCTCCATCATAGAAACTGGAAAAGTATCAGGAGGGGAAAAATAATTTTACAAGGATGTATTTGTATGGAATGTGGGAACATTAAAGAGTAGGAGAAATACCTTTCAAAGCTTAAGTTTTGTGGTGTGTGTGTTACAGGTTGTAATTTCGATGGCCTTTCATATATAGTAGCGTGATTTAGAACTCTCTAAAGGACTCTAATGGGAAAGTATAAAGGGGTCTAGGTTTTTCTGTTTCTGAATTGGAAAAATGACCATTTATCTAAAAGGATTCCTGTTTTGTGATGCTAACGGGTTGGCCATTTATCCAATCCACTTAACATTTTTTTGGTAATCTATTTTGTGCCAGATACCATTTTAGCACCTATGCATAAAACACACACACACACACACACACACACACACACACACTCACACACTTTTCTGCTAATATTTTACTTTCACCCAATATATTAGACAGGCTTCAGTCAGAGAAGCCAAACCACTATGAGTACTATGGAATGAGGGATTTTATTATAGGAGGAGATGGAGAAGTAAAGGTCTGACAGGAGAAGTTGGAGGACCAGAGAAAGGTCACTGCTGCCCTTGTGTGAAACCCTGGTCTGGGTGCACAAATGGCAACCGGGGAGTCTGGGAACCCAGGCCCTTCCAGCTCACAGTGGGCTGTGAGGGAGAGCTGGTGCTGCCCGTGGACGACGGAGTGGCTGCCCATGGGGTGGACGTGGACTGGCCAGCAGGGCTGGCAGTTGAGAGCTGGCGGCTCATGGGAGACAGCAGGGATGCTCTGGTACCACCGCATCTGACCCGAGGGTATCGCGGCTGCTGCTTCATCCCCACCTCCCAGTCTGTACCCAAGAGGAGAGGACCTAGTCTGCTGGGAGGTCCTGAATCTTCACACAAAACCATGTAGTCATATGTCCAAGAGCAGAGCCTCACGGGGCAAGGGAGCTGGCGTGTTTTGTTTTTGCATTTGTTTTTGTTCAGGATGGGCTCTGCCTCATTGTTTTTCTATGGACTCACACCAACATGTGCTCATCCGACTAGACCTAGACCATAAGCTCTGTCCATAGCAGGCAGTGTAATTGTTTGCTTGAACTACATTTATTTGGGATTTAGAGGAATATCATTATATTTTTTAAAACATGTGAGAATTGAGTTTACATACTGCTTTGTAAATTCCGTATTAGCTATCGTTCATTATCAATCTATCTTGTACTTCTTACTACCAAAGTTATACCATGTACCCTGCGATCTCTTCTGCAAAAAATGCAGTCTTTCTTTTTTTGTTTCTAAAAAATCAGTATCTTTCTTTTTTAAAAAAAGTTTTATTGATTTTTAGAGAGAGAGGGAGAGGGAGATAGAAACATCAATGATGAGAGAGTACCGTTGATTGGCTGCCTCCTGCATGCCCCCTACTAGGGATTGAGCCCACAACCTGGGCATGTGCCCTGACCGGGAATTGAACAATGGCCTCCTGGTTCATGGGTCAACACTCAACCACTGAGCCACATCGGTCGGGCAAAAATCAGTATCTTTCAAATTGAAGGGTCATTTTCCACCGAGGCTCAGTGAGAAACACTTACTTGCTAGTGGACGGAGTCATTCCGAGCCACTTTGCCATGTCCTTGTATGTTCCAGCTCTGACAACTCGGGTGCATCTCAGTAGGTTGTGGTCACTGCTAACTTGTGTTGATATTTTAAAAATATCCCTTCGATTAAAAACTTTCTAGCCCCACTTCTCACCCCGCTGCCTTTTCAACGATTTTCTCTCAATAGCGAAAAGACAAACTGCGGGAACATATGCAGAGGATGCATAATCCCGAGAGGGAGGCCAAGAAAGCTGACCGCATCAGCCGCTCCAAGACCTTCAAGCCTCGCATCACGTCCACCGACTACGACAGCTTCACGTTCAAGTGCCGCCTGTGTATGATGGGCTTCCGGAGACGGGGCATGCTGGTCAGTGCCGAGTGGCCGCGGGCTCCGCCGGCCACCTTTCACCTCCCATTTCTGTTTTATGGTGATGGCTCTTGTATATACCTGTGTTCTCTACAGACTTGTGGATAGGTTCTGGCAGTGGCTGGGGGAAAAACAGGCGAACAGTTCCCAATTTGGAGTTCTCTCCTTGCCAGTCTCCCTTCGCCCTCCGTTGCCATAGTTCATGAGAAGAGGTGTACAGCTAGCACTTTTCTTTTTTTTTTTTGGTTTATTTGTTTGTTTTGCTAATCCTCACCTGAGGATATTTTTTTCCATTGACTTTTTTTTAGAAAAAGTGGAAGGGAGTGGGGGTGGGGGAGAGAGAGAAACATCGATGTGAGAGAGACTCATTAATGGGAGTGGGGGGGGAGAGAGAGAAACATCGATGTGAGAGAGACTCATTAATTGGTTGCCTCCTGTATGTGCCCCCAACGGGGCAGGGGAGGAGCTGCAACCCAGGTACGTACTCTTACCCAGGAATCGAACCCATGACCCTTTGGCGCATGGGCCGACGCTCTAACCACTGAGCCACCGGCCAGGGCTATCTATCACTTTTCATTGCTAGTTTTGTTTTGCTTTACCCGTCTCAGTCTCTGGTCTTACCACGTTTTATTTCCCTCTTCTCGTTTGTGTTCCTGAGTGTATTTTCTCTGGGCTCTTTGCCTTCTCGCCGACTGTTCCTTTAATGCCGCTTTCCAGCTATGACACAGCAACAGAAGAAACTTTCATCAAGGCAGGCATGCGACCAGGTTAGCTGGGACACCAGGACAGCTAGCGCACAGCAGGCCCCAATACGGCCTTCTGTTACAATCTTGATGAGATGCCAGAGGGACCTAATCCCTGTTTGTGTCAATTAGCCTGGGGTAAAATTGGTTTCCTTCTTGTTGTTTTGTTTAAAGTTGCAGAACCTATTGACAGCTACTACATTAAGTGAGGACTTTGTATTTCTGCCAGGAGCTAAAGTCAGAGAGCATCATTTAAAATTCAGAACCTTGCCTTAGCTGGTTTGGCTCAGTGGATAGAGCCTCGGCCTGTGGACTGAAGGGTCCTAGGTTCAGTTCCAGTCAAGGGTGCACATGCTTGGGTTGCGGGCTCAGTCCCCAGTAGGGAGTGTGTAGGAGGCAGCCAATCAATGATTCTCTCTCATCATTGATGTTTCTATCTCTCTCTCCCTCTCCCTTCCTCTCTGAAATCAATAAAAATATTTAAAAAAAGTTTGCCCACCCCTGGGATAGAGCCTTGGCCTGTGGACTGAAGGGTCCCAGGTTCAGTTCCAATCAAGGGCACATGCTTGGGCTGCAGGCTCAATCCCCAGTAGGGGGTGTGCAGGAAGCAGCCAATCAATGATTCTCTCTCATCATTGATGTTTCTATCTCTCTCTCCCTTTCCCTTCCTCTCTGAAATCAATAAAAATATTTAAAAAAATAAAATTCAGAACCTTAATTTTTATCTCATTCAACATCCTCCCTTAGCGTAGGGCGCTAAGTAATGAAAGACAGGTTTGCATCAGGAGAATTCACCAGAGAAGTTCCTGCTACTGTAATGTCCCTTTTCCAACAGTTCTTTCATCAAAGACTATTCATGGGATCCACAGTGACCCAGTTCCCTTCCGTAATCTGCTGAGTTCCTGTTAACAGGGACTGCTAATGCTCTGGTGTCAGATGGGCCTGGTTCTGGCCAAATGCCTGTTGTTTCGGGGTGCTGCTGCAGAGAATGTCAGCTTCTCGCCGTCGCTCGGAGACCTTTGCCTGCTTCTGCTCGCCATGGGCTCTCTTTTTCTCATTTCCTTTCTCCCGTTTAGGTCAATCACTTATCAAAGAGGCACCCGGACATGAAGATAGAAGAGGTGCCGGAGTTAACCCTGCCCATCATCAAGCCCAACCGCGACTACTTTTGTCAGTACTGTGACAAGGTAACGGAACCGCCCGCCGCGGCGGCCCCGTGGGAGCCTGCGCAGGGCCAGCTGGTCTGCGGGTGGGAACGTGGGCCAGGACCTTGCAGGGCTCCTGACAGATGGTTCCCCGGCTCTCAGTGTTTTTCCACAAAACAAGGGCTGCAAGTGTAGCCTCAGCTTAAGCCAAATTGTTTTTCTTCAGAATGAGCTGGCTTTGTTGTACTCGTTTTCCCTTCTCTGTGATTTTTGCTGCAAAAGAAGAGTCTTATTACCAAGAGCTTAGTATATGGATTCATTTAAAATGTCTTAGCTCTAAAATGAGAGTGTTTATCAGCGGGGTTGTAAGACATATGGTAGATTTTGGACTTCTAGAAGATCGAGTAGCACGTGCAAAAGTTTTGCGGTGGAGTACTCTGTGCTATTTTATTCTTTATTTCTGTACAGTTACAAAAAAGACAGAAGGAGAATATGTGTTTATTGCTTCACTGTAATACTGTTTCCTTATACAATGGACATTCACCACTAGAGGTGCTGGTTGCTATTAGGATTCTTTGGCATCTGGCAGTCTAGTACATACATCATGTGAGAGCTTTCACAGAAAGGCTAAGGAGGACTGGCCTTAGGGACAGTTGTCTTTCTCTGTGTAGCCACCTCTTCGACTGTAGGAGAAAGGCTGTTTTCGCTATTACTAGCGCAGATCTATAAATCCAAGGAAGATGGAGAGAGAGATAGAAGCATCACTGGTGAGAGAGAATCAAGCCTGCAATCAGGCATGTGCCCTGACCAGGAATTGAACGGTGACCTCCCAGTTCATAGGTCAACACTCAACCACTGAGCCACACTGGCCGGGCAAATGATGTCCTTGTTTTATTCTAATCTATGTTATATATTATCTTGCATTTTATCTGTTTATTTTGGGTGCATGATACCTATTTTATTTTGGGCTACACTACTACTTTTTCTTGTACGGAAATAGTTAGAGGGTTGGCTTTATCTATTTTATTTTGGGCTACAGCAATACTTTTTCTTTTTCTTGTACGGAAATAGTTAGAGGGTTGGCTTTAAGCAGGAAAGGGGAACTATGTACGACTTTCACGGCAAAGCATCTGAACTTGCAGGTTTACAAAAGTGCCAGCAAGCGCAAGGCCCACATCCTGAAGAACCATCCTGGGGCCGAGCTCCCACCAAGCATCCGGAAGCTCCGTCCTGCCGGCCCTGGAGAACCAGACCCCATGCTGAGCACCCACACCCAGCTCACTGGCACCATAGCCACTCCTCCTGTCTGCTGCCCCCACTGCTCCAAACAGTACAGCAGCAAGGTAGGGGAGCTTCTGGCGGAGTCCGAATTGGGCCACTGTGTAAAGGGCCTCTGGAGAGAAGGTGGCTTCTCCCAGGCGCTCTGCTGGCTTCTTGTGACTTGATGGGGACTGGCGGTTATAAGGAGCTGCTTTCTGAGAGCTGGGACCCATAGATGGAACAGGGGAGAAGAGGGTGGGCCTGCCCCAGGATTAGCATCATCTGGTGGCCTGAGCACTCGACTGGGCTCCTTTTCCTTGGCCTGCAGCTGAGGCCTCCTGTGTGAGAGTCCAGCCCAGAGTTTGTGAGCTTGGGCATTCGAGTACTGCCTGGGAGCTCACGTGATGGTTCCTGAAAAGGGGGGCTGGTGGGACCAGGGGATGCCGTGAGGTGTTCTTACCTTGCCTGATGGCGGGGATCATGTGATTCTTTAATTTCTTTCAGCCTCTTCTTTTCTCTTTCGTAGCATGTGCTGCCTTAGGGAGGGCACAGCCAGCATCACTCTTTTTTTTTTTTTTAATGGATAACATCAGAGTCAGCATCGCTTTAACTTTTTTTTTTTTTTTTAAGTGCCGTGAGGTGTTCTTACCTTGCCTGATGGCGTGGGTCACGTGATTCTTTAATTTCTTTCAGCCTCTTCTTTTCCCTTTCGTAGCATGTGCTGCCTTAGGGAGGGCACAGCTAGCATCGCTCTTTTTTTTTTTTTTTAATGGATAACATCAGAGACTTTAGGAGCCTTTGTAGGTTTGCTTTTTTTTTTTTAAATTTTTTTATTGCTTGAAATATTACAAAGGGTATTACATATGTGTCCTTTTTTTAGGAGCCTTTGTAGGTTTGCTTTTGAGAAAGACTGAGAAGAACTAATTCCAGCAGTAACTAATTCTTGGTTTTTGCCATAATTTTCCAGACCAAGATGGTCCAGCACATTCGAAAGAAGCATCCAGAGTACGCCCAGCTCCCTAACACCTTGCACACGCCGCTGACCACCGCTGTGATCAGCACCGCTCCGGCCGTGTTAACCACCGACAGTGCCACCGGCGAGACCGTGGTGGTAAGTGTGTGACCGGCGAGAGCATCTACTTCAGGGGTCACAGCCTTCAGGGCCAGAGTATTGAATTGGCTGCAAATGTAGCCATTCTGCTTCTGATCAGGTCTCCTCTGTGAAAGGGGTAGTCAGTGCTGCTCATTGGCCGCCAGGTTGTCCGAACCTTGAGGGTAACCCCACTGGGCCTGGCGTAGACAGATGGATACAGATATGTAGGTAACCTTCCAGCATCCTCTCAGGAATTTCTTCTGTCTGAGTTCAGGGCTAACTTGTAGGTTCCACGATCCACCAGTGATACCAATGAGACTTTTGTAGGGAAGTGCACTGAAGTAGCTACAAGCAGTACTGCCATCAACTAATGCGTTTTGTGTGAATTTTCTAGACAACAGACCTGCTAACCCAGGCCATGACAGAGCTGTCCCAGACCCTAACGACAGATTACCGGACGCCACAAGGGGACTACCAGCGAATTCAGTACATCGATGAGACTTTTGTAGGGTGTAAGTGCACTGAAGTAGCTACAAGTAGTACTGCCATCAACTAATGCGTTTTGTGTGAATTTTCTAGACAACAGACCTGCTAACCCAGGCCATGACAGAGCTGTCCCAGACCCTAACGACCGATTACCGGACGCCACAAGGGGACTACCAGCGAATTCAGTACATCCCCGTGTCACAGTCCGCATCCGGTCTCCAGCAGTCTCAGCACATACAGCTTCAAGTGGTGCAAGTGGCCCCGGTACTGTACTGCTCTCGTCTCTCGTTCCCTTCCTGAATGCCACATTGTCACCAGCGCATGTGGCCCTGAGGTTAACGATTCTCAGAGCTGGCGTGGGGCCCTGCTGTAATGTGCTTCTGCACGTACATTCGGAGTCTAAGGCATTTGTAAAGCCCTCCGCAGGCCATGCAGGGCTCCGACTTAGCAGTCAGAGCGTTTAGGCTCCAGCGCATGCTGCCATCTGCGCTGCTGTGGACAATACCCGCGCAGACTCTCTCTGAGCCTCTTCTGCATCCTTATCCTGGGTCACCAGGGTGACTTCCTGGTGAGGAGCCAGTGTGAGAAGTCCCGACACAGGCATCAAGTGCCTTCTCTCAGTGGGAGCTTGTAAGAACAAATGTGACCCAGTCTCTGAATACCAGTCAGTGCCTTATTCGAATAGACCAGCGATTTTCAACAGGGGTGCCGCAGGGTTTTTAAAACATGCAACACATGCAGCACCTCACTGTTTAGCCAGGGGCACTGGCCTCTCTTCCCTTAGATCAGTGGTTCTCATCCTGTGGGTCGCGACCCCTTTGGGGGTCGAATGACCCTTTCACAGGGGTCGCCTAAGACCATCAGAAAACACACATATAATTACATATTGTTTTTGTGACCTGAATGCCACATTGTCACCAGCGCATGTGGCCCTGAGGTTAACGATTCTCAGAGCTGGCGTGGGGCCCTGCTGTAATGTGCTTCTGCACGTACATTCGGAGTCTAAGGCATTTGTAAAGCCCTCCGCAGGCCGTGCAGGGCTCCGACTTAGCAGTCAGAGGGTTTAGGCTCCAGCGCACGCTGCCATCTGCGCTGCTGTGGACAATACCTGCGCAGACTCTCTGAGCCTCTTCTGCATCCTTGTCCTGGGTCACCAGGGTGACTTCCTGGTGAGGAGCCAGCGTGAGAAGTCCCGACACAGGCATCAAGTGCCTTCTCTCAGTGGGAGCTTGTAAGAACAAATGTGACCCAATCTCTGAATACCAGTCAGTGCCTTATTCGAATAGACCAGCGATTTTCAACAGGGGTGCCGCAGGGTTTTTAAAACATGCAACACATGCAGCACCTCACTGTTTAGCCAGGGGCACTGGCCTCTCTTCCCTTAGATCAGTGGTTCTCATCCTGTGGGTCGCGACCCCTTTGGGGGTCGAATGCACAGGCATCAAGTGCCTTCTCTCAGTGGGAGCTTGTAAGAACAAATGTGACCCAATCTCTGAATACCAGTCAGTGCCTTATTCGAATAGACCAGCGATTTTCAACAGGGGTGCCGCAGGGTTTTTAAAACATGTAGCACCTGACTGTTTAGCCAGGGGCACTGGCCTCTCTTCCTTTAGATTATCAAGTAAAAAAGTGACAACAGCCAACACAACAATAGCTGCCTGGCGTGAATGAATCAAAATTATACATATTGTTTTGTTAGATCGGCAGCAAATATATTTTTTGGTGTGCCACAGAAGGTTAGTAATTAGTTTATGTGCGCCATGAGATGAAAAAGGCTGTTAGATCGGCAGCAAATATATATTTTTTGTGTGCCACAGAAGGTTAGTAATTAGTTTATGTGTGCCATGCTATGAAAAAGGTTGAACATCGCTGGTATAGGCATAGAACTGTGTTCCTTCTACCAGGTAATTAGTAGCTCATTCTTCCTGATTAGGGAGCTGAGAGAAGGAACCCTCCCAGAACTGTTGTTTCATTTAATTACACTGAGGGAAGGTCCGCCAGGCGCATGAACAAGCCAAATGGAGATCATGTGGTCTCTGAAAACTGGAAGCTGATACCAGAGCAGGGAGTGGAAGCTGCCACTCACTGACTGTTCTTCCTCTCGTTTTTCTTGTGGGAAGGCTCTTGATTTTGGGCTCTGGAAGAATCTATGGGTCCCTGGACTTGCCTGTAAAATACGATGTGCATGTACATTTTTCTGGGAAAAGGGCTCAGGCTTTAGCCCGTTTTCAAAGATGTCTGCGATGCATAAAAGGTTACGAACCGCTGTTCTAGTGGTTCAGTCGAGACAAGCTAAAAGGCAATTCTCTTCCGTGATATCTTTTAACTCATAAAGGGTAGGTCATTACATTTAATTGAAATGGAAGGGGAAAGATTTCCGATTCCGGAGAGCGTCTCATCCAGCTTTTATTAAGAGCTATATTTCTTTTGGCTCCTTCTCTTTCAGAAGTTAATAGCATTAGGGGCCCCTGTTTTACAAGCGTCGTTTTGAAAACTGCCTTTTCCCCTGACGTTTGCCAGCTCGGCTTAGGTGTGGGCTCCCTGGGAGTGAAGCGTTGGATCTAAAGTTCTCTTCCCCTTCTTCCTCTTCCTGTGTTTCTGTTGGGATATTGGTTGAGCTGAACTTCTCCGGAAAGACTTCCCTTCGCCTCGATCAGAATGGATTTGTGTTTGCCTCCCCCAGGCCACCTCCCCTCACCAGTCTCAGCAGTCCACTGTGGACGTGGGCCAGCTGCACGACCCGCAGACCTACACCCAGCACGCCATCCAGGTGCAGCACATCCAGGTCACCGAGCCCGCCGCCTCGGCCCCGGCCTCCCAGGTACACGACGCGCAGACTGTTCACAGACATTAGTGTGACCCAGGGACCCGGAAGAATTAATAAGAGTGAAGAGACATTCCCTTCAGACCTGGTCTCCTTGACTACGGAGATATTGTTCGTGTGGACCTTAATATTGGTATTGTGGTCACAGGTTAAGTGATCAGCTTCGATCCCAACGGGCCCTGTGATAGGACATCCTGCAGACGACATGGCCTTTGCTTCCTCTTCTCAGTGCCCGGGGGATGGACAGTCTGCAATGGCTAAGTTGTTCCTGTCATTTGGAGCAGTGACTTTGAGGAACACTGTTGAGCTGGGATGATTGAGTCTGTTGTTAAGATAGCATAGCAAGACCCATTAAAATATTAGGAATTCCTTATCGTTTGCAGGAAACTTTCCTAGGTCTTGTCCTCAGGAGCGTGGAGTCTAGTAGGGGGATAACACAAGTGTGCGCGTGCATAGGACGTGGAGGGAAGGTGTGTGCACCCTAAAGGATGCACGTAGGTCCCCCTGGTGTTCACAGGCCCCAGGGTAAGAGTACAGATGAAGACCTGCGTGCCAGGGCTGGAGCACTTATACGTCTTGAGTCAAGCTAACAGACGATTAAATAAAATATGTTCTGTCTTCCTACTTGACACATACGCTTTTATAATGACAAAACTGAGAAGTGTATGTGAAGTAACATTGATCATAATAACCTGATAGGTGGGTAGTGCCAGTTCGAAATCAATAGTATTTTCTGCCACACAACACGATGGCTCTAGCACCTGCCGGGCTGTCGCAGGAGGAAGCTGGGAGGAAGGCTTTCTCCCTCGTTTGCTAGCTCTTTGCCCTTCTAGTTTCTGTGGAAATCCATGGGGTACACACGCACAGTCTCTACTTTCCTGCTTATTGGGGGGTGGGGGCGGTAGAGGGAGGCCCCTCGGTCTCAGGAGCCCCAAAACCCTTGCAGTAGTTCTCAACCTGTGGGTTGCGAACAATGAAAATACATCCTGCATATCAGATATTTATATTATGATTCATAACAGTAGCAAAATTACAGTTATGAAGTAGCAACGAAAATAATCTTATGCGCCCAGCCGGGTGTAGCTCAGTGGTTGAGCGTCGACCCAGGAACCAAGAGGTCGCGTGTTCGATTCCTGGTCAGGGCATATGCCCAGGTTGTGGGCTCGATCCCCAGTGGGGGGCATGCAGGAGGCAGCCGATCAATGATTCTCTCTCATCATTGATGTTTCTATCTCTCTTTCCCTCTCCCTTCCTCTCTGACATCAATAAAAATATATTAAAAAAAAAAAAAGAAAAGAATCTTATGGTTGGGGGTCACCACAACATGAGGAACTGTTGGGTCGCAGCATTAGGAAGGTTGAGAACCACTGAAACCCACATGGAGGAGGCAGGACCCCTGCAGGAGGACAGGCCCAAGGAGGAGACTTGTACAGGCCCTCGAAGTGGGTGCAGGGCCATTTCCACAGGGGAGGGGGCTGTGGTCCCCTAAGGGAGGCCTGGAAGGGGCTCCCTCACATTCCAGGTGGGCGTGGTCACTTGGCCTCGTAGGAGGAGGGCACAGCGAATAAGGGCCGACCAAGATTCCTGCAGGATCCCCTGGGCCTGGGTCTAAGAGAGAGATGGCTATAGAGATAAATTCTGGGAATTAAGAAGATGATGTTTAGGACATTTTTGTAGAAGTGGTGTTTGAATTAGGTCTTGAAGGAGAGGTAGGATTTTGACGTGGTACTTGGGGAAGGCATGATGACTTGAATATGGTCTCATTCGAGTAAAGACACAGAGATGGGACATTGTGTATTTATAGAAAACTGTTTAGGTAGTAACAGGAAATGGTGTTTGGGGGAAAAAAAGCTGGAAAGGTGGTTTGGAGCTGGAGTATGGAAGGCTCGAGGGGCAGCCTGGGAGCCTGGGCCTTACCCTGGAGACAGGAGTGGGCTCCACAGCGGGGTCTGCACCTAGCCCTGTGCTCAGCTCCGCTAACGCTGGGACTGTGCTGTTCACTTCAGTGGGAAGTAGGACTTCAGTTTGTGCAACAGATTAGCTCTGTGATGCAGGCAGGTTAGTTCGCTTCTCCATTGTTCTCACTTCGTGTAATATAGATCATCATATTTTCACTCACTTATCTTTCTAACAAGATACTTTTGGACATAATCCTTTGAAAACAAAGTAGGATTTCATTGTTATGATTACTTTCCATTGATCCTATTTGTATTTAAAATATTACTATTTCAGCAGGGGTTCTTTCAGTATTAGAATTCATACTAGCCTGACTTATTTCTTCAGTTATTTACGAGTCTTCGCTTTATTGGGAATTCATGATTTTTCTACTCTCGCTTTCTCTCTCCCTCCAGGTGGCTGGGCAGCCACTGAGCCCCTCCTCCCAGCAGTCTCAGCAAGGGCTCAGCCCCTCCCACATGCAAGGCAGCTCCTCGGCCCCAGGCCAGGCACCCCAGCAGCAGCAGAGCTCTGTGCAGCACACGTACCTGCCCAGCACTTGGAACTCCTTCCGTGGCTACTGTAAGTGAGAGACCAGGGCCCTGGCCGGGTGGCTCAGTGGGTAGGAGTGTCTGCCTGTTCACCAAAAGGTGGCCGGCCGGCTTGATTCCCAGTGAGAGCACATACCCAGGTGGCGGGTTTGATCCCTGGTCAGGACGCCTGCGGGAGGCAACTGATGTTTTTTTCTCACATCAATGTTTCTCTCTTGCTCTCCCTCTCTCCCTCCCTTCCTCTCTCTAAAGTCATTAAAATATAAAGAAACAAGGGGATAAAGCTACAGGTCATCGGTGGGGAACCTGCAGCCATGGGCCATTATTTCATCAGCTTTATAATGGATTTTCTAGATTAAAGTTTCATTGACCATTTTCTTCACTCTGCCTATACTTGAATGAGTTTCATGACAGAATTCAAGGTAGCATCCTGATCAGAGAGCCACCCATTTCAGAGACATTAGGAATATTGCTGGAATAAGTGTAGGCAGGTGATTTAAATAGTAGAATAGATGGTTGTAGGATCTGTTGGTTATTGATTCATGTCTTCCACCAGTATTTATTGAATGTCTGCATATCAACCCGTGTGCTAGACCCTGGGTATACAAAAGGTTAACATTCACATTACTAACACCACCCAATAATAATGCTAGCCAGCTTTCATTAAGCTCTTACTATGTGCCAGGAATGTTTTTAAGCCACGTATACACACATTCAATATCCACAACCTATGAGATAAGTACAATAGTTATTTGTATTTCACAGATAAGATAACTTAGGCACGGAGGAACTGTCTGAGGAACATAGCTTGTAAATGGAGGCTTGAACCCAGCAATCTGGATCCAGAGTTTACACCAAACCACCCTGCTGGGCTGCCTCTCCTGAGGAGATTGTTTTTGGCTCAAAAAGATCGTTAGCTGGTTGAGAGAGAGATATGAGTAGTTGCTTTCAAAACCCCGAGATTAGTGCTATGGAAGCAGCAAAAGGCTGGCTGCTGAAGTTCAGAATAGGTGACAATCTGGGGAATGACAGCCTTGGGTATGAGCTGGAAAGTACGGGACCTCTATGACTGAGGATGTGGGAGGAACAGGACTAGAGGCCTCAGTACAGGGAACTAGGAGGGATAGGGGCTGAGAAGGTGGGAAGGCCAGTGATGATCTTCCCCTACTATTGATCTACTTTCTTTTTTTGGGGGGGGGGGTCCATCTCTATTGTGTTTGATCATTGGCTATGTTATATAGATTCGGTATGGAATTAGGCTCCACCCCATCCATTTAGTTATTTTTACAGTCTATTCTCTTAAATATTGGTGAGCACTACGAGGCCTGAGTCTAGTTTCTAGTCATGGGAAATACCAGTGGGATCCTGGTCAACAGACTGGCATTTATACTCAGTTTAATTCCTGTGAACGAAATACGGAATGATGAAGACAGTCATGGTGATAATAGTATGAACTAGCATTCTAACCCGAAGAAAAGATTCTAGAACTGAACTTTTTTATTTTAGGGAAAAAATTTAAAAGATAGAAAAATATACTAGTAATAGTGTAATGAATGTCCCTGTACCCATTATCTAGCTGCAGTAGTTATCAACTCATGGCCAATTTTATCTCCACTGAACACCCCCATGTCCCCTCATCATTCTCTCCCTCTCTCCCAGTTCTCCAACTGGGTAATAATCCATGTCATTTCATCCACAAATATTTTGGTATGTGTCTCTAAAACCAAAGGAATGTAATTTAAAAAAAAACACAACTCCAGTACCGTGACTGCCCCTAAAAATAAATGACGGTAATTTTTTTGATGCCATCAGATATCCAGTCAGGGCTCATATTTCTGTGACTGTCTCAAAAATTTTAGTAGTTGGTTTGTCCAAACTGGGTTCCACATAAGGGCCAAACATTGCAATTGATTCTGTATTTGGAGTTTCTTTTAATATGTGTTCTCTCTCTCTCTTCTCTCTCTCTCTCTCTCTCTCTCTCTCTCTCTCTCTCTCTCTTTCTCTCTCTCTCCAGTTACAATTTATGTGTTGAAAAAGGTGGGTCACTTGACCTGTAGAGTTTTTCACATTCCGACATTTCTCAAAATCCCACATGGATTTTGCTGTTGACATCCCTATATGATCATTTAAGATGCCTGTGTCCGGCCCTTTTATTCCCTGTAGGCTGGCAATTAAATCTAGGCCCTGTTGGAATCAGGTTCAGTTTTGTCCCCGACACTTCATAGCTGGCCGTGTGCTTCTATCAGGAGGCACGTGGTGTCTGGCTGTCTCTCTTTTCCTTTGGCCCACTATTTCATTAGGGATGGCAAAGTGGTCCTAGGCTGATTCTGTCATTTTTAAAAATATATATATTTTATTGATTTTTTACATAGAGGAAGGGAGAGGGATAAAGAGTTAGAAACATCGATGAGAGAGAAACATCGATTCAGCTGCCTCCTGCACACTCCCCACTGGGGATATGCCCGCAACCAAGGTCCATGCCCTTGACCGGATCATATTTCTGTGACTGTCTCAAAAATTTTAGTAGTTGGTTTGTCCAAACTGGGTTCCACATAAGGGCCAAACATTGCAATTGATTCTGTATTTTGAGTTTCTTTTAATATGTGTTCTCTCTCTCTCTCTCTCTCTCCTCTCTCTCTCTCTCTCTCTCCAGTTACAATTTATGTGTTGAAGAAGGTGGGTCACTTGACTTGTAGAGTTTTTCACATTCCGACATTTCTCAAAATCCTACATGGATTTTGCTGTTGACATCCCTATATGATCATTTAAGATGCCTGCGTCCGGCCCTTTTATTCCCTGTAGGCTGGCAATTAAATCTAGGCCCTGTTGGAATCAGGTTCAGTTTTGTCCCCGACACTTCATAGCTGGCCGTGTGCTTCTATCAGGAGGCACGTGGTGTCTGGCTGTCTCTCTTTTCCTTTGGCCCACTATTTCATTAGGGATGGCAAAGTGGTCCTAGGCTGATTCTGTCATTTTAAAAAATATATATATTTTATTGATTTTTTACAGAGAGGAAGGGAGAGGGATAAAGAGTTAGAAAAGAAACATCGATGAGAGAAAAACATCGAGAGAGAAACATCGATCAGCTGCCTCCTGCACACCTCCTACTGGGGATGTGCCCGCAACCAAGGTACATGCCCTTGGCCAGAATCGAACCTGGGACCCTTGAGTCTGCAGGCTGATGCTCTAGCCACTGAGCCAAACCAGTTAGGGCTGATTCTGTCATTTTTATACATGAATTAGCTAGGAAACTTCAATGAAGAAAACAATTTTACCTTAATGAGCAGGTTACTCGGAGGTACAGTTTGTGCAGGAATGGCAGGAAAAATGCTTGAAATACCTGGCTCATCGCCTTTATTTGCCAATTTTCAAATTCATGCGTTGTTTCCTAGCATTACCCAGTAGACCAATGTGGGCTGTGTGTGTGTTAGTGCTGTCATGTGCTCATGGATTTCAACACAGTTGACGTGTTTCAGATCACTGCCGCGGTTATCCTTACTGATGCTCAGATTACCCATCTTTAGCTACTGGGAGCATCTTTTTTAAAAATATACTTTTATTGATTTCAGAGAGGAAGGGACAGGGCGAGAGAGAAATGACAGTGATGAGAGAGAATCACTGATTGGCTGCCTCCTGCATGCCTCACCCTGGGGGTGGAGCCCGCAACCCTGGCATGTGCCCTGACCGGGAATCGAACCATGACCTCCTGGTTCATAGGTCGACGCTCAGTCACTGAGCCAGGCCGGCTGGGAGCGTCTTTAGATTGGCTCCTGTATCTTTTCTACACAATCCTGTAGTCTTTTGTAGTATCTTGCATGCTGGTGTGACACCATGTTCTAGGTTCATCTTATATGTTTTCTGCCCCAGATCTGGAACCAGCCATTTTCCCAAGAAGCTCTGGTCCCTTTTAGTAGAAAATATTACTCAGAGACTCAACTGGGTGCTAGGGTGAACTTTGGTGAAATAAAACTCAAGTTAGGTTAATTCATGATTGCTGGGCAATAGTGGATACATTGTGCTACTCATTCAGATGTGAATATAAGAGATAAAAAATATTAAGCTAACAGGTAAGTTTTTGTGTCTTATTTCAGGGTTTTAAAAAGCTGTTGTGTATTTGTCTTTATGGATATTCAGAAGCCACAGAGGGAGGTGCATTGATCGCCTGCAATATTTGGTAACTCTACTAACCTCATGTGGGCAGTTTGTGCCAGAGGTGCTTTTACTATATCAAAAAATCACATCATCATAAGACTCTCTCAGCAAGCAAATCCATGGCAGTGTCTCGGTGGGGAAGGTGGTCACGTGTTAGGGTTATGGTCTACAACTTGTATTAAAATCTGAGACCACTGGAATATGCATATTTCCTGTTTTTCAGCATCGGAGATTCAGATGATGACGCTCCCCCCAGGACAGTTTGTAATTACAGATAGCGGTGTGGCAACTCCAGTCACAACTGGCCAAGTGAAGGCGGTTACTCCGGTAAGCTGTGTGCTCGCGAGGGGTTTCCTGTCCACCCTACTGCACCTGACTCCCCTCCCCTGCCTTCTACTCCCCAACCTGCAATGTCTGAGTTAGAAGTACCTCTCCTGTGCTCCCCTTACAACTTGTGGAGCTGTATTCTAACCCTGTCACAGTTTATTTTCATTATTGGTTTACTATCTATCTTTTCTCAGTAGGTGATGAATTCCTTGAAAGCCGGGTCTTGGTCGTTATCTCTTTATTCTCAGTGCCTTGCACAGGAGGCTGGGCTATAGTAAATGATCAATAAATATCTATCCTATGTATAATTATAATGAACCTCCTAGATCCATATACATATGGATTCATAATTCATCACCTTTTTATGTGCTCCTTGGAATGTATATGAGCTGTCATTACTGTTGGTTATCAATTTGGGTTGGGAGAGAATGGCATAATGAATCTATTATAGAGCTCTTTCAAACTATTTTAAACAATTCAGCCATCCCAGGGTGAAAAACATTACCATAAATTCTCTTACTATATTTAGATTGGGCAGGTCAACATTGATTGTAGCTGCTACCTCTGTTTTTATCTTCACTGGTTTATTCTGGCCTGCCTCTAAGTTATTAGAAAACAGAGTATGTAAATTTAAATTAAAGAAAATACTCTTAAGTGGATAGGAATATCAGGATGTTCCAGGGGAAGACTGATTCCCAAGAGGCCTCAAAGCGTAGCAGGATAGTCTAGTGGCCTCAAAAACCTGATTTTTTTTTTTCAAGGCATACTGAGAGCTCACTCATTTTTTAGCATCCAAACTCACATTAACCAGACTGAGAAGAGATGTGTAATCCAGAGTAACACTATTGTCAGCGAAAACAATAACTAATGTAAAATGGTAATGATCAATGAAATTTCTGCTTCCTGTGGGTCCCATTGACTCTACCATTTTTTACCCAGGAACTTATTTGGGAATCGGATTATAGCCAAGGATGCCCCCTCCCTCACCACAATATACATACACACAAATTTAATGTATATTTTGGGGGGTTCATAGATTCTCGGAAGTCCACTTATGTACCCTAGGTTGAGAACCAGACCCATATGGGAAACCAAATCATAATCATAGTTGTGTGATGAGCGTAGACTCAGAGCATATGGCCCTAGATCAATCAAATGGGTATTTGGCTATGGCTTTTTTTTGAGCATTGCTTGAAAAGGCCAATGCTTGAGTTTTCAAACTGTGCCTTTTTTTTATAATTTTTATTGATTTTCAGAGAGGAAGGGCGAGGGATAGAGAGATAGAAACATTGATGGGAGAGAAACATCGATTAACTGCCTCCTATATGCCCCACACTGGGGATTGGGCCCACAACCCAAGCATGTGCCCTGACCGGGAATTAAACCGATGACCTCCTGGGTCATAGGTAGATGCTCACCCACTGAGCAACACCGGCTTTGCTCTGTGACTTCCTTTTTTCTCAGCCTAGTAGCTAGCTAATCCCCCTTCTGTCCGCATTTTTTCTTAAAAATGTTAACATGAGGATATAGCTAGCTGCAGTCTATGGGGGAGACTTCATTATTAGAGGGCAAATGAGGAAATAGAGAGACAGTGTATATTTTCATGAACCTAATTTATTCAATGTAAGGACTTTATTCTAAGACTGTGCTCTTCCTATGCTTTTGAGGGTTAAAGCATCTTTTGTTTGACAGCAGCATTTCAAAAATGGCTATGCTTGGCAAGATAACATTTGGAAACATTTATTATCACTTTTAATTTTGCCAGCATTTGAAATTCTGAAGTCTGGGAACAGTTGATCTTAACTACCTGCCTTGGGGGCTGTTCTGCCTCTTTAACGAGACTTTAGATCAAGCATGTCAAACTCGCGGCCCGTGGGCCACATGCCTCGTTTGTTTGGCCTGTGTAAGCCTTTGAGTTTGACATGCTTGCTTTAGATGATAATTTTTCTTTGATCAATTTTATATTAATCTTAAAATTTAATTGACAGATAGCAATCTTATTTTATTTATTTATTTATTTTTAAATATATTTTATTGATTTTTCACAGAGAGGAAGGGAGAGAGATAGAGAGTTAGAAACATCGATGAGAGAGGAACATCGATCAGCTGCCTCCTGCACATCCCCCACTGGGGATGCGCCCGCAACCCAGGTACATGCCCTTGACCGGAATCGAACCTGGGACCTTTCAGTCCGAAGGCCGACGCTCTATCCACTGAGCCAAACCGGTTCCGGCAGCAATCTTATTTTAGAAATCCAAATTCTTAAGAGTAGTACAAGGGCAAATGTTTTGTTTGCCATGTAGGTTACCATTGTGATGCCAAGCTCTGTCTCACTGTATCTTTTGGTAGAATAACTAAGGACCCCTCCTAAGTCACCTTTGTCGTCAATGACTGTGACTGACCCATTCTCCCCCAAACACTTTGGTAGGGCACCTCCCCTACGTGCCTATTTTAGTTCCCCTTGTAACATTTCTTTACAGATTCCTCCCTCTTTCTGTCCCCAGGACCCCCTGCCCCCATGAGGCCTCAGATTTCTAAAGATCCTTTCTTCCTGCTCTAGGGTCATTATGTGTTGTCAGAAAGTCAACCGGAACTGGAGGAAAAGCAAGCCTCTGCCCTCTCTGGGGGAGTCCAGGTTCAGCCAACTCCGCACAGTGACTTGGACCCCCAGACCACCAGCCAACAGCAGCCCACACAGTACATCATTACCACCACCACCAACGGGAACGGGAGCAGGGAAGTGCATATCACGAAACCTTAACTGCCACCCTTGAGCTAGAACCCACAGTCACATCATGTCTTTTCTCATTCATAAATCGGAAAGCTTCTGACACTTACAACTCTTTTTTACAATTTGTCATTCACTCAAGAGTTTGGAGGTTACAGTTTGGACACTCAATTGACTGGGGTTTATTTGATCAAGGCCACCTTTACCAAATTGACTCTTGGAACCCTAGGAGTTTCTGTTGTGGAATGGAGATCTTTCAGTGGCAAGTAGAGTTCAAGATGGAGACATTTTTACCTTGTTCGTGGGTTGTTTTTTTAACACATTGATAAGCCTTACTTTTCCTTTGTGGAACTATTAAGTGGCGTATTGTGTTTGTACCAAAGGTGGAGAAAGGGTGTGACAAGTCCATGGCCATGGATTTCATTCCAAGCTGTGGCACCAAAGGAGAAGGGGCATCTTATGGGTCGATGTTAGGTCAGAACTGCTTCATCTTTTGAGTTTGTGGGAACTTAACCAAGGGGGCCTATTGACTATGAAAATAACAATGATGAAACAAAGGGTGACAGTGATGTTCTGAAGGGAAAACTGTCGCCTAAATTTTTTTTATTGCTGATTGAAAAAACAACAACTTGCCTTTTTAGGAAAAATCATTGTTGGGCGGTTGGTAGTACTTCCCAGAGATACTACCCTCAGCACATAAGGCCAAGAGACCATGTTCTGCTGGATCTTACACTATTAGTCCGCAACGGTGGACTCCCTGTAAGAAAAAGGTTGCCTGATGTCAGCAGAATGTAAACTTCTGCATTAAAGCATCGCCACCATTCTCTGATGCGGTTGTAATAAGGAGATACTAGAGATAGCTGTACCAAGTAACATGACGGAGACGGTATATATGTATATAAAGTGAGAAGCACTGAAACCTTGTCCTGCCTTGCAGGAACCATACCATTCATTGGTAAAGGCTGAATTCCTTTCTCTTACCAGGTGTATATTCGGCCCTCGCCCTCAGCATTCAGTGTATTTTAGAATTTTTAATGCTTTCTTAAAATGAACATTCTGTAAGGTTGGATGGAAAGGTGGCCCTCCTTATTTCTTACCACGCTTACCTTAAACATACTACAACTCATCTGGACCCTTGGGTATGACCAACTTCACACTTAGGGGTAAAATAAGAACGTGGGGACCATTTTAATACATTAAGGCAGTGATTTTCAACCTTTTCATCTCATGGCACACAAAAACTAGTCACTAAAATTCTGTGGCACACCAAAAACTATATTTTTTGCCAATCTGACAAAAAAAAGGTATAATTTTGATTTACCAAAAAAAAAAAATAATAATAATAATTACCTACCTTTTTGCTTGTATATAAAGATTTCTGGTACCAAGAACTAACCAATCAGATGAAACCTTATTATGCAATGCGACCAATAAGATGCAGCTAATTATTACATGATCTATATATAGGGTGTCCCCCCCCAAAATGTATACACCTACTTTGGATTATTATAAAGGCAATGTTTATTATAATACATCTCCCTTGCAAAATTGAGCTATCAGCTGTTCAACTGTGTATACATTTTTTGGGGGGGGACACTGTATTTATGGTTCAAGGCAGAGCCTTCATACCAGACGGCTATTGTTGTATTGCCTGTTGTCATTTTTTTATTTGACAATCTGAGAAGAGGCCAGTGCCCCTGACTAAATAGTCAGGTATTGAATGTTTTAAAAATTCTTCTTGCAGTACGCTGGATGAAAATCACTGCATTAAGGGATCTGGAAGAAATCCGATCTTTATGACTATTACACTATCAGTAGGGAAAGGGGAAAAAAAAAATCTGCCTCAGTGATAGTTTTGCTTATATGCATTCCTCTTTGTTAGCTATGAATTCAGCGGGGGGAAACATTTCCCTCCTTTTTACTATACATTCCAATTGTACACAGAAAACACTGCAGAGATCAGTACGTATTTTAACAACTTTTTGTGATATACTAACACATTTTTAGAATAATTACTGCTGGTAGAATTTCTCACTGCAGAACAGAAAGACCTGACTTAAAATTCAAATGAAGTTCATTTATTTTATTTACATTTCTGGGTAAAAACTGGTTCTATCAATTAAGTATAGTAGCTTCTTTATAGTAAAGATAACTTTTCTGAAAAGTAAACGATTCTATTGAAATAACTTTACTAATATGTAGATTTTTGCACTTTATTTCTGAGACCTCATTTATCGAGTTATCCCTGAAAGTTTGGGCACTAAGAGAACTTGAGAAAGTTACTTGGGAAATGTGTAGAAACTGAACATGGACTCTGTATCTTTGGTAACAAAGAGGTAATGTCAATATTTTTAATAGAAAATATTGACCCTGAATGACGAAGTAGAGACTCTGGGTCCCACAGGCCCACGTTGTAATGATTGTGCATATCCTAGGATCCAGTCTAGAATGACGTGCTAGGTGAAGAATACTACACTTTCCCAATGACCCAGGTTAGTTTTAATACCTTCAATTTGGCTCTCTTGGGTCCTTTTTAATTTGAATCAGCAAGGTACCTCCCCCCTCCTCACCTCAGGAGTAACATTGATTAACATAGAAAACTATCACTAAATGGAATGTTCATTTTATACCAGTTATTTCAAGTTTTAAAATACACAGAAGGAAATGTGGAAGGACCTCTTTGTCTATTTCCTATCTAAGTTTGTTTGTTTTTTCTTTCTTCCTTTTGTTCTTATGTGGAATAAGTAAATCTCTGAAACTAATTTGTGTATTATCCACCAGAGATGCAGGTGGCAGTCAAGCCAAATAACACTGCTTTAAGATCAGGTATTCCGCACATCCATCCAAGGTAATAAATTTTCAAAAGGACTTGGATTTGAAGAGATGGCAGAGTATAAGTCATCTGAAGACCCAATTTTGGGAGGAAATGTTTGTAGCCAATGTTTATATTGTTCTGTTTCTTAAGACACATTGGCACTGTAGACTTCAATCAGTGCAGTGTAAATTTTGGAGTAACATAGATTTTACATTTTTATTGCTTGATTTGTGCCCACATAGTAGACATTTTATCATGTAAAATTCCTGTTATCCAGGAAAAAAACTATTATTTTGATTCTTGAATTGTTGTTTTTTTTATTTCCAATTATCCTTTCAAAAAACTCTTAGGGCTAAGAAGCACTTGATGAGATGCTAAAGCTGACCCCCCCCCCCCCCCCAGGTTGAAAATTGACCCTATCCTGTTATTTAAATGTGAACATTTATTGTACATTCAGTGAGTTATAGTGTTAATAGTCTTGTGCTACTCAGCAGGTGTAAAAATTAATAAATATTTTTTTAAATAAACATCTTCCTTGTTTGTATGTGTGAAGCTTCAAGAGCTACTGAGACTGTTAATTTTTCTTTTTCTACTATTACAACTTATGGTGTTTTGACTCTTTGATTCACTGTGGTCTGGTCAGACTCCCTGTGAGAGAATTTGTGGATGACGACTGTGGAATGATGTTCTTCTGCTTATTCACTTGGTGGTTTCTAATTGAAGAACCTACCAACTTTCTAACAGGAACTAAGGGCAGGCTTGCAGCCAGCAAGGGAGCTGAGAGGAGGCTTTTTTTTTAAAACTTCTACTTTCCAAAAAGGGAGGGATATTTTTGGGGGCCCTCCAGCTTCTCTGACATGGTTGTATCTGAGCAAGAGAACTGAGGCCCGGCGGTGTGACTCAGTAGCTGAGCTTGGACCTAGGAACCAGGAGGTCACCATTGGATTCCCTGTCAGGGCACATGCGGGGGTGTGGGCTCCACCTCCGGTGGGGGGCGTGCAGGAGGCAGCGGATGGATGATTCTCTCATCATTGGTGTTTCTATCTTTCTCTCCCTCTCCCTTCCTCTCTGAAATCAATAAACATATTTTTAAAAACTTTATATAAAATAAAGAGAGAACTGAGGATGATCTCTGCACGTCTGACGGGAGTAGCTGTGGAGTCTAAAGCCATTCTAAGAGCCAGTGAGTAAGAAGAAAGAGACATAGATTCTTAACAAGAGGAACGTTATCCAGTTTAATTTAAAATGTATTTCTTCAGTGTGTATACTTTTTTCGACAT